ACAATCTTATGTTTTCTATATTTCTAATATTTGAAATATTATACAGTAAAACTTAAAATAGTTTCTACATTAAATATGTCTATGAAGAAATTAAGGCTTTCCTCAATTCGTTTTTACTGACAGGAAAACACAAATAATAAAATCATTTTATCATTTTTTTGGTCACCTCTCGCTTACATTGTGTGGAAATTAATAGCAGACAACATGCTTCTCCCTATGACCTACTTTTTTCTATGTGCTTGTTTCTTTTAGGATGAGAAACCCACATTAAAGAGGCTGTCATAGCGAGGAACACAATTAGCTGAAGACTGGAGTCCACTGCTATTTTTTTTTCTTTTAAAGATTTTATTTATTCATTTGAGAGAGAGAGCACGAGCCAGGGGGAGGGGCTGTGGGAGAGGGAGAAGCAGACTCCCTGATATGGGGCTTGATCCCAGGACCCTGGGATCAACCTCCGATTGGAAGGCAGATGCTCAACCGACTGAGCCACCCAGGTGCCCCTCAGCTGAAATTTCTATACACTGATGCAAATACCCGCTTTTCTAATCTTAATTTATTCCCTCAGTTTCCAAACTTGGGTTCCTCCAGTTGAAAGTAATATTCATATAGTACCTTTCTCACTCAAAGATGTCATTTCTAGCTCAGTAAGGGTGCACGTGATATGCCCACAAATTTGCATGAATCTATACCCAGTATGTTGTACCATTTTGTGATTTCTGTAACAGAACCATTCCTAAATTTAAAAATTAATACGTACTGTCTCTGCACTAATTAAACCCTTTCTCGATATTTTGTTATCACCACAATGGCTTAAATGGCTTATAAGACCCTTTAATTAACAGGGCAGCAACCAGGCAGCTAAGGTTTGGGATGCAATTAGGGGTCAGGGGATCCGGAGAGGCTGCTGGACTCCTCTCCTGGTCCAACATGTGAATAACAATGCGCACCAGAAAGCCTTCTTGTCTCATGCTTTATGCTTTGAAGAGCTCTAAGTACCAGTTTGGGGGCACAATTAGGAATGTGTTTAATGGCATTTATTAAATGAAACATTGCCCACAAATACTAAATTAATACAAGACAGTCCTGACATCAAATTAAGAAAGTACTTTTAAAAATATGTATATGTCTTGATCCCTGTTTTCTGCTCAGTTTTTACAATCTTACAAATTCAAAGTAATTTGCCTGCTTACTTATTTCAAAGATTAACCCTGTGTGTTCAAAGGTAGATTGCCTTTCATTTTCCTTTTTCACGTTTTTCAATCCCCTCTCCGACCGATGGACAGAGCCTCAGTTAGATAGAGAACCTCTGATGTTTTGTGATTAATTCTCTAACCCAGCTGGTCATCTTGAGTCTTTTCTATGTCACTGAGAATTCACAGTATTTGGAAAAGTGTTTTAAGAGACACGCTGCTAATCTTCCAGGCTTTCATTACCATCTAATATCCTAAATCCCATGGCTTGAAGAGAAAATATCTCTAGAATATAGGTATGAAGAGCAAGAAAAATTCCTAAGGATAGGTAGTTGAGATTAGCTCAAATCTCAAAGACATGGATGACGTATAATAACCTAGACATATACTGTATGAAGAGTAGGTAATTGGTGATTTTAGGGAAATAGTAGAGAAGTTGATGGCAGTGATATCATTAACACTTACAGACCCCTTAATATATTATGTTTAGTAAATCAGCTTAGTCCTGGTACTTAATTCAGATTTATGGATTAATTCTTTCTTCTAACATTTTTAATAGCTATCAATTACACGCTAAATGATGTTATAGTTTATGCAAATATGTAGTATATATAGTAATATTATAAAATAGGCATTTGAATATGAATTTGAAAAGCTCACTAAATTATATTAATTACAGTTAAAATCTAGAAGTGATATACAAAATGATGCTAACACTATGCCTGAAATTTCTTTTGCTTTTTATCTTTTATTTAAGTTCCAATTTCTTATGTGAGTTTTAAAATTATCTTTGTGTTATAAATAGGGGCCACTGAACTCCACTTTCAATATTTATCTTTACAAGTTGGTGGAAAACACATTTAGAAAAAAATACTTTTCAAGTCCAGAGCTTCAAAGGGTGAAAAGAAAGGTTTTTGTCTTATTTCAAATATATTACAATTGTTCCACTATTCTTTAAAAGTCTTTAAAATCACCTGCTCGATGTTTCTTCCCTCAAAGTCTGAGAGAATGAACGAAACAATGTAATCTAGGTTTAAATTTGGGTTTCTCCTGTGCGTCAGATATTTATGTTTGAGCTTTCTCTTACTGACAAGCTACTTAAAGGGTCAGTGTTACTTTGAGGTTTTATCTATGAGATTCGTGTCTTTGGGGCTCATTAAGAACATTTCCAGAGATTACAATGTCAATAGCACCTAATTACTGGACTGTGAGAAAGGTCTTCTTGAGTACATACGATCTGTGGCAGTGCACTGCACACAATGGGCAGCTCAGATCCCAAATTTTATCACAGTTAAGTAGCAAACAAATTAATAATGTTACCTGGGCTCTCTGGGGATCATTACTACTGCGTAAAAACTGCTTTGAAATTTTGCAGATAGTATCATACCTCGTTTCTTATTCCATCATATTAACAAGGATATATTTCTCTCTCTCTCTCTTTTTAGCTATTTATCTCTTTTTCTACATTGCATGAGTGACTCCCTGTTGTTCTCTTTAGAATTGTTTGGATTAAAACTTGCAACATAAAAAAAGTCATTTTCAATCTGTTTAGAAAAGATGTATCACCTCATATAACATTGTTTTAAAACCATATTTTATTTTTATTTCACTGTTTTCAAAATACCTACTGCATATTTTGATACTAATGATCAATTCTTTTCTTCTACTTATGTTTGTAGAAAAATAATTACTGAAGAACCAGAGGAGAGACTGGTTCTTTTAAATCACTAGACCAGCCTACTGCTGAGGACATTATGATCCTTGTGCGGTGGGCTAAAGGGTAGCTTTGCAGGCTTTATCGGGGGGACTTGGGGAAAATATGATCAACAGCTCAGGAGGAAATAGGGGTTAGCTAGGCACATAACATATATCTCACATAATCCTCATCACGAAGCTATGAGGTGGGGTCACCATCCCCACTTTCCACAGCAGAAGAATTTGAGATGATGCCAGTAAGTAAGTGGTTGGAGCCGGGATGGGAACTGAAGTCTGTGGGCCTCCATGGCCTCTCTGCTGCGTCCCATATCTTCCCCTTGTGGTTGAGAATGGGGCGACATGTCATGCATGAGACTTGGGGCAAGTCAATATAATCGAGTGGTGACAAGCCAGGGCTCTGGGGCCACACCGTCTGGGCTTGAATCCAGCTGTGTCTCCTGTTCATGGTATAACTCTGGTAGCCTACTAACCCTCTCTGTATCCAACTGTCTTGTCCGTAGACTGGGGTTAAAGCAAGAGTGCCAACCACCTAGGGTTTTATGAGGATTAAAGCTAAAAGGTGAAAGGCATTTACAGTAGCACCCACGTCCACTAAATGTTAGCTATACATAAGTTTTAGAAGAATCTTGTAGTGTGAAAGAACAACCCAGGAACCTCTTAGGTTCTTTGATGCAACACTGAAGATCCTGTTAACAGGGAGGCTAAATATTCAGTTAGTACTTAAAATATTAATATTCTATTTACATATTCTAAAAAATGGAACTCAATACAATGATGGCTTTAAAGAGTTTGATTCGGGGTCCATCACCAGATAGGTTACCATAATCCCCCGTGCTGTAGAAAATAATAAATATTTGTCTATAAATCAGGTACATACTAACCATGAGGCTAAACGCCTCTTTAATAATATATTTGTGAATTAGTGCTTGAAAATACTAATAATGAATTAAACTATTTCCTAGGGGCCTGAAGGGGGCACTCAAGCATGTGAAGTATCTAAGAAACTTGGGGTGACTTGTTTCATGAAGATGATTTGGTCCTTTGAATGTCTAGGGTGTATCCTATCCAGTAGCCATAACCTGTGTGCTAATGAGATTCACTTACTCCCTGAATTAGCAAATGTTGATTCACGTATTCATTTCTATTCATTAGAAATAGAAAATTTATTTCTAGTAAATTTTGGATTAACTGGAATCCACTTAACCAGAAACTTTGTTCACTGGATTATTTCCCCCACACTATCTTCATAGGGAACAACATGGCATGTCCAAGTTGTACCAGAGTATTAGTAAAAGAAATTTCACGGTTTTGCCCAGAGGCACTGGGTGTGACCATTGTCACATACATCTTCTCTGCGATGCAGGTTAACATTTAGAGTGATAGGGCTTTGTGGCGGACTGCAAGGTTCTAGATCATGAAAAAGTACTTACATTTGATTTTATTTAGTAAGGGAAAGGAGGGACTTATGAACTGTAGGAGGATTTTCAGTAGACAGAGTAGAAATAACTATCTTTTGCATTTTCAGTGCTGAGGAAAGAGAGTGATGCTTGTTTCTGCTGGGGCTGCCTTTTCTTTCAGGTGGCCATCAAGTTTCATTTGTACTACTTCAAATGGACCTTTGAGAAATGGTTTGCCTGGCTGTGGAAAATCAATTCTGGATGCAAAATCCTCCACTGAATCTTTTGGGGTATGGAATGTTGCTGTTAATTAAACCCTCTCATTTAAATGTCAGGCCAACCACAGGTTCCAAATTCAACCATCTAGATTTCGATGACAAATCATGAGAGTCTCTTCTCCTAATACATTACGGTGTTGCAGAAAAAGTTTCTCTGTTGCATGGAAGCCCAGAAGAAAGGTTTCTCTCTGCTAAAGCAGTCTAGTCTTTCAATTAGCAGCAACCAATATTCAGAAATGCATATTAGCATTCTTTGATTCAGCATATCTATGTATTAGTTTTATGAACTGGCTGAAGAAACCCCACGCATTCATCCAGAATTCCAAATGCCTTCGGATAACAAAAAGAAGGAGATGTCAATCTAGACTAAGTACCCATTCTGTGTGTGAACCATTTTTTCCAACAATAAAGATTCTTACCTTTTGATAAAGGGGAGAAAAATATCTGATCACTGACTACATCCATGTCCTTGTCGATCTGCAGGTAAAGCAAAAAGTTTCATTACTGAGGTTGAAGAATAGCAACCAACTGAATGTTTAATAGAAAAAAAAATCTACCTACCAAAGGTGTGTGATCACTTCCAGAAGATGTAGAACCTGCTATCAAGTTCATTTTAGACTGCACAAATAAAGGTTTTAATTTCTGAAAGACACAAAAGGAATGTACTGTGTTATCAAGGGGAAGTAGTTATCAAATCAAATGGATATAGGAGGTTCTTCGGTTCTTTTTTTTTTTTTTTAAAGATTTTATTCATTTGACGCAGAGAGAGAGAGAGAGCAAGAGCACAAGCAGGGGGAGAGGCAAAGGGAGAGGGAGAAGCAGGCTCCCCACTGAGCAGGGAGCCCGATGCGGGACTCGATCCCAGGTCCCCGGGATCATGACCTGAGCCGAAGGCAGACGTTCAACTGACTGAGCCACCCAGGCGCCCCTGAGGTTCTTTGGTTCTTAATTAACCAAGATGTGAAAACTAAGCTCCTGATTTATTTGTTTAAATATGGCTGGGGAAATCCTTTCCTTGAAACCCATGGAATAGACAGACCCTTTTCTTATTTGGGCTACTCTGAGAAAAAATTCAAGAAAAATGTTTTCTTCAATGGCTGTTCTGACTCTACCTTTTTCTTCTCTTCTCTTTTCTTTTCTTTCCTTTCCTTTTCTCTCCTCTCCTTTTAAGTACAGTTGACACACAGTGTTACATTCGTTTCATGTGTATAATTTAGTGATCTGACCAGTTTGCACGGTATGCTACGCTCACCCTAAGTACAACTACCCTCATTCCCCTGACTCTTCTTCCTTTTGATAATCTCCACCCCATTGGGGTTTACAACGTGTCACTGGCCAGGTATCACGGGGTTTGTCCAGCACCTCCTCGCTCTGGGAGACTATGGCAGTAGGGGTCCTTGTTCCCAGAAACTGAATGGTGAAAGCCCAGAAGCTTCTCTTCTAGGAGTTCAGGAGCCCCAGCATGCAAGCAGAATTGTCCCTAGCATTACTGATTGCCAAGTAAATGACAACAATAAACATGTGCGGGTAAAAAGGACCAAAGGGACACTAAGCGTGTTTATCAGAAAGAGGCCTGAGGTCCAAGGATGTACCCTGGTGATGTAGGTGAAGTTTTCCCTCTTCAAGGCTTCTCTCTTGTTGATTTGTATGTGTGTATTTTTCTATTCTCTATAGCCCCGCCCACTCTCTTTTTGTTCCCACCCCAAGGAAACGGTTTAAATATTTTAGGCGTATCTTTACTTTGGATATGTTCTTGCAAAAATACGTACTGTTGTGCATGCCTTTTAATTTACGCTAGTGGTGTTATGTGCTATCCTATTTTGTTGATTCTCTAAGGCATAGCCTTCTGGTATTTTAACATCCCCAAAGTTGGGATGCATCTTGCAATAGATGGAGTCTCACAGTATAATTGGCAGCACTTCTCTCTTTTAGAGACTTAGAAAGTCTTAGGACACCTTATGTGTTCCCACTTCTCTTGCTAAGTACTAAGTACTTTCACTAAGTACTATGTTTTTAAGATCCATCCATTCTGCTATGTATGCCTAAAACCCAGTACTGTCCAGTACATAGCACTGCAGCCTAAAACC